CTCCTAGATTTGAGTTTCTTAAAGGCGAAGACTGCCATTATGACACCACAGGCAAACACCATGTTTGTACTGCAAATTAGAAGCTGTGGAATAGGGGCCAGCTGGGCACGGTGGCATAAGCTTGCAATTCCAACATTTGAGAACCAGGCAAGTAATTGGTTTTCTTTTTTTCTCTCTTCTACTCTTTTGCTCTTTTGAGGGGCATGCCACCCATCTCTCAAATAAGACACACAGTTTTATATTCTTTTTTTTATAATTGTTTGGCCTTAGCTTGACTTGTTTCTAGCGAGTTTTTCCTAAATTATCCCATCTACCTATTAGTCACTGGGCTTTTATCTTTATCCTATATACCTTTCTTTACTTATTCTGTGGCTTTCTGTGTAGCTGGGTGGCTGGCCCCTGGAGTCCTCCTCTTTCTCTTCATCCCAAGTCTCTCTTCCCAGATTTCTTTTTCTACTTAGACTCTCTGCCTGCCAGCCCTGCCTATCTTTTCTGCTGCCTCACTATTGGCCATTCAACTCTTTATTAGACCAATCAGGTATTTTAGACAGGCAACGTAGCACAGCTTCACAGAGTTAAACAAACGCAACATAAAAGAATGCAACACAGTTTTGCATCTTTAAACAAATGTCCCACATCATAAACAAATGTGACACCTCTTCAACTAATATTCTGCAACAGAGGCAGGAGGATTTTGAAAGCTCACAGAGCAACACAGACTACAGAATGAGACCTTGTTAGCAGTCATCCCCATTCCCCCATCTCGAGTGAAAAACAGAAAGCAAACTGAAGACAGAGCAATCTCTACTACGCTACTACCTTGAATTGTTTACTTGTTTGGGGGAGAACTGACAAAGGAGGTGCACAGGGGTCTTTAGCTTATGCCTCCCTCCCAGTCTTGCTCCTAATCTTTATTGGCTGTCACCTCCTCACCTAGACTTTTTGCTTATTGTTTAAGATCCATGCTTCTCACATGATATTCTCCAGAAGGCCACTCCTCTCACAATCATCTGAAATGCACTGTCTATCTAAAACTATAAAAATATGGGTGTGTGCCAGGTCAGAGGTGCAGATACTTTTTAATTTCATTTCTCAAAGAGAGGGTATGAGTCCAAAAAGAACACCCTACCTAGTCCAGGGACACCTTGTCCACTTGTCAGTGTAATTCTTTGGTCCCATAAGTCCTTCATATTCTGTACGCCCTGCAAGATGGAGGTTTGAGACAGTGAGATCTGCTTTATTTTCCTTGGGACAAAGATGGCTCGGGTGTACTGGTATATTTCTCCCAACCCATGGCTTTCAGATTTTCTGGAGAGTGGCTAGCAGTATGGCCTCGGGTTCCAGTTAAAAAAAGAAAAGACTGTTTTGATCTAAGTTCCTAGCTCTTAGCTCAGTGTTGAGTGGATCTGGTGGACAACACTTTCACATGTTGTCAGATATTGTTGTCCAGAGAGCTAGGTGGTGTGTGCAGCCGCATGGGAAGCATGCCTGATTCCTCTCTAATTTCATCTTCTGTACCTTTTCATTGTCATAAACTAGAACCATGACAGCCATATTTCTTAATTTTCTGAATCCTCATGTATCATCAAACCTCAGGGTGGTCCTGGACACCACCTTACTGCCCAGATAAAACCGAATTTAAAATTGTAAAGGAAGAAGGAAGGGGAAAGTACTAGGACAAAGTTTGCTATTTACCCTTAGAGTAGCAGCAACCACAAGGCCTACACAGATCTACACCAGGTCCTCTGCATATATGCTATAGTTTTCAGTTTAGTACGTTTGTGGGACCCCTGAATGTGCAAATGATTCTTGTCATTGATTCTTGTGCCTTCTCTTGGGGCTCTTTCATTTTTCTGTTGACTTCCCTTGTCCAACTTGGATATGATAGTTTTTGTTTTATTTTATTATATTTCATTGTTACTATCTAGAAGCCTGTTCTTTTCTAACAGGAGACTGAAAGGGAGTGGATCAGAATGGCAGAGAAGGCAAGATGAACTAGGAGTAGTAGTGGGAGGGGAAACTATGCAGATTCTATTTTATGAGAAAAGAATCTATGTTTAATAAAAGTGGGGGAAAGCTACTTGGGAGAGGTCTTTTACACATGAGACAACTTGTCATTCATATCAATTCTGGGAAAAATTTAAAAATGAAGAATGCTTATAGTTTAATTTACTACTACCCTAGTGAGAACAGAGAAGTTACATCACATAGTATAAAGAATACTAAAGTAAGACAATAGAGTGGAATTTTGAGATGAATTTGTGGCAATTCATCATCTGTGCTACAAAAACCTAAAGAATAATTAATAAAAGAATAATTTAGTTATGTGAAAAATACACAAAATACAAAACAGACCTAACTAACATAAATGCTAGCTTTTAAAAGAAAAGTTTAATGTGAAATCGTTTCATCTTTGGAAATGCCTTGAAGACAACTCATCTCCTTGCATTCTCAACTCTTCCATCTCCCAAATGTTGCTCATAGGTAGCAGATGGTTAGTTAGCCAATGCAGGAAACGCAGCTGCTGGGTTCTATTTTGCCCCCAATTGTTAGCATTATCCAATCTACAGACTTAGAAATTTTACTGAAAAACAGAAATGAAAAAAGAAATGATAAAGCTGAATTATATTTAATTTTTAAAAAGATGATTGTAGTAGATTTAAATGAATCCAGCCTCATGCATTAAATCTAATGATACCAAAAGAATTTAGCAAATTTATTAACATAAATCTTTGACTCAAGATGATTTGGTTGAGGTATCACATAGAAGGGAGCTTCACCAAGGCACAACATGCTTATCTTGTCCCCTGGCTTAGAGGCAATTATCAGTATTTATTAGCAACTTGACAAGGGTCCCTTGGTGTGGGAGAATTATCTGTGTTCAGTCAATCATGTATTTTAATAAAACACTGATTGGCCAGGCAGAAAGTATAGGTGGGAATACCAGACAGGAAGTAGAGGTGATGCAATGAGAAAAGGAGAATTCTGGGAAGCAGGAAACTTCCTCTGCCATTCCTGCCCAGACCACCGAAGACGCAACATGTGAGCTGACAGCTGAAAAAGGTACCAAGCCATATGGCTAACATAGATCAGAATAATGGGTTAAGATAAGTCATAAAAGCTAATAAGTAGCCTGACCTATTGGGCCAATCAGTTTTATAATCTTATGGAGTCCTGTGTATGATTTTCTTTGGGGTATGCTGGTTGTGGGGTGCTGAGTGGGACAGAAACCCCAACAAGCCAGCCCCTCATGCTACAGTCCCTGATAACACTCCCAATTCTTTTCTTTTAACTTCTATTTTATTTATTTATTTATTTAGTTAGTTAGTTAGTTAGCTAGCTAGCTAGTGAGTTTTTTCAAGACAGGGTTTCTCTGTAGGTTTTTTTTGGAGCCTGTCCTACAACCAGCTCTTGTAGACCAGGCTGGCCTCAAACTCACAGAGATCCACCTGCCTCTGCCTCCTGAGTGCTGGGATTAAAACGTGCACCACACCTGCCTGGAAAACAATCTTTTTTTTTTTAATTTTACATACCAATTGCAGTTTCCTCTCCTCCCCTCCTCCCATTAACTCTATCTTTCCCCCCACCCCATCTCCCATCCATTCATCAGAGAGGGTGAGGCCTCCCCTGGGGAGTCAACAAAGTCTGACATGTCACTTTGAGGCAGGACCAAGGACCTTCCTCCCTGTATCTAGGCTGAGCAATGTATCCCTCCATAAAGGAATGGGTTCCAAAAAGTCAGTTCGTGCACTAGGGATAAATGATGCTTCCAGGGCCAGTTGGCCCCACAAACTGCTCAAGCCCCACAACTGTCAGCAACATTCCGAGGGCCCAGTTCGGCTTTATGCAGTTTCCCCAGCTGTTAGTCCAGAGTCAGTGAGCTCCCATTATCTCGGGTCAGCTGTTTCTGTGAGTATCTACATCATGGTCTTGACCCCTTTACTCATACAGTGGCTCCTCCCTCTCTATGACTGGACTCTGGGAGCTCAGGCCAGTGCTCAGCTGTGCATCTCTGCATCTGTTTCCATCAGTTACTGGATGAAGGCTCTATGATGGCAAAGTAGCCATCAATCTGCTTACAGGGAAAGGCGAAGGCACCCTCTCCACTACTGTTTAGATACTTAGCTGGGGTCACTTCCAATTCTATTTAAGTATACTGACACTTGGAAAGGAGGTAATGATCACTAGGCAGTATCAGGTCAGAAAGAGCAACTATGCCCAGGTCACAGGGCTCTCACTACAGGAAGGAATGACAATCACAGCAGCACTTATCAAGAAGAGCTCTGTTGAGCAGAAACAGGTATTTCACAACTAAATGAATGTTCAGCTGGTTAGAACAAAACACTACTACTACTCATACATCTGTGCGCAACTGAATGGAGCTAGTTTCTTTTTACTACTTCCTTCTAGTCGCCCATGGAAACAATGCAATTTTATCTCATTTGCCCAAGACTCAATTAAGACAGAGTACACAATTCTAAATGGGGGGGGGGGGACACACTCAAATAAATAAAATGGAATCTTAAAGACTCAGTGGGGTAGCCAGATGCCTGATTCATTCTAACAATTATTCCCATATGTTCTGTTATAGACGTAGTAAACCAAGATCAATGAGTAGAGCCCAAAAAATTTACAGTGCCTTGGGAGCTTTAATGAGCCCAGTTTAAGAGGGCTGTCTTTGCCAACCTGAGTAATGATAACCCATGTTGATACTGTATTTTCAGGTCACGGGAATAATTACAAAATCCTGCATGAATAAGAGCTTCAGTGTTTCCATAAAAAGGTCACTACAGGAAAAGTCCAGCATTACACCTGGAAAATGATGTGTACTCAAAAATGCTACTAAATCCCAAAGGCCCAGAATATACCAGAGTGCAGGTGGAAAGCCGCTTTGTAACTGGCTACTAGGCACGCAGGTTTACTTAGCACTGTATAGGTAATGTCTGTATTCTTACCCAGAGTCATTCTTTCAGAGTATGGGCAGAAATGCTGGCACTTACCGTGTACTGGAGTCACACTTTTTATTTCTATGCATTCTCGCATTATAAGCTTTACATTTTGAGAACGATCTTCTAATGGTGTTTAAAAATAAGTACTGATAAAAATTTATCTTCAGTGTTTATGGCTTTGTAGTGTTTTATAAATTCATCTGTAGTATTTTTAAACCCAAACTGCCAGCCTGAAGTTATTTAACAAACTGATTTAACTTAAAAGCATGTTATGTTATTTTTTAAAATAGCACTCATTCTTAACTACAAAGGAAATAAACCCTTGCCCTCAATTTATAAAGTCCCGTTTTGCCCCCAAGCAATTTTAATGAAAGCAGCTTGCCAAGAAACATTTTAACTCATTATCAGTAAGCAGGTTTTCAGTTTTGCTTTGAACCACAACGCACAGATGCAATTAAAGGTTAAAACTAACTTGAGGCTCTTTATAAATAGTGACTGCAGAATAAGCCTCATAAAGTAACATAAAAACCTTGACACCACATAGAAAATAGTGGTTCCCTGACAGTTCTCAGCCAAGAGCAAATGTGACACGGTTATGAACATACAAAGAGCCGTGTACATCCAGTGACATGGTTGTGAGCATAGAAAGAGCCATGTACATCCAGGAATACTCAGGAAACAACCATTTTCTAGTCTCAATCAGGAAATACAACATGACAGTTGTAGGGAAAGCTGTGTAGACTTCACATGTAGTACTTGAACAAAGCTTTTTGAACAAGTATACATAGCTGACTTACTTTTTGGAACTGGTTTCAAAATTTAAAGTACTGAGTATTACGACAGCATATGTGGATCACGGTCCCTATTGCTTTATCCATTTTGCATTGCATCCATTTTATTAGATTATAAAAGATTACATTAGAGGCTAGGCATGACAGCTCTTCCCAACCTTTCCTAACAAGGCCTGTGTGTTTTAATTAACCCAAAGAATTGCATCAATTTTGACTATTAAAGTTTAAATAAACTCACCTCTGAGCTCTGCAAAGAACCCACTCCATAACTTACATGAACTGTCCACTAGCCTTTCCTCCTTAAGGGATCTTAAGCCATTAAAATGATGGCATTTAGGCCAAATCCAGCCTGCCTGCACTGAAAGGGGCTCTGCTGGGAAAAGAAGCAAAGCTATGCGATCATTACCTACCGCCGCTTGTGCTGTCAGCAGAGGCAAGCAACCATTCTCAGATCACATGGCCTTTGAAGTCTAAGTTTTACTATTCACATCTTTACAGAAATTCTTGCATTTTACTTAAAAAATGGAAGACATTAAAAAAAAAGACTGATTTTATTTGAATTACAAGAAAATACACATTTTCTATTCTATCCAAAGATACCCATTTTGGCCCACACATAAAACTGTAAATACATACAGCACGAAATCATGACCACCACCACTGCTTCCATGAATTCCTTCAGACAACTTTATGAAAGGAGCTCAATGGAACGAGTGAATGGAGAGACACAGCAGAGCGCTGCCCTGGACTGAAGTCAATACCCACACTGAACAAAACTCCTTTAATGGCAGATATTCCCCATGCTTTTTTAAAAAGATCTAGCAGCACAACAGTATTTAAGATACGCAGAATCTGTTTTCAGATACTGAATTCTGGGACCTTACTGGGCATCTAAAGATTTATCGACATCCTCCTGGTCACTCTTATTCATTTTCGTTGCAACTTAAGCTTGCAAGTTTTTCATTACTCAACCAAACTGTATATTCACGTCGCTTAGACCTTAGGATCGAGTTTTTCAACCACCGTAGATCTATAGAGCAGTGGGATAAACATCTCAGGTATGACTCAGGTACTTGTAGAAGACAATTTACTGTCTAGTTATTTTCTTAAGAAAAAAAAAGGTAGGAAATGTGACTCTTTTATTACTATTATTTGCATGTATAAGTTATAATAATAGCCCAAGTACTCTTTACAGTCAATTTTCCATAAATATTAAATTACCAAAAGCAATGGTATTTGCTAAGTTTTCAAAATGATCCTTAGAGTTTTATATCATTTAGTAGAAAAATAAACCAGGCAACCACATTTATTAATTTAGGCAATGTTTCCCAATAAAAATGTAGAAATATTTAAATTTACATATTACAGTGAACCAACACAAGGTCAAAATCCACAATTACACATTCATAAAAAAATCTCAACATCATCTTCAGGACAAGCAGTTTCTATACAGGATTTACAGACATCTAAGCACTCTGAGTCTTCAGTGTGCGACGGAGTTCAGAGGTTCTGCTCGGATGTTCCCCAAGTCAAGCGCAGAGTCCGTCTCCTCGTCAATTTCTCCAATGACCGCTCTATTATTAGCATAGGAAAAAGAGTTAAAAAATGCTGAAATAAACTTCCATGCATTTCTAAAATCCCATTAACTACTGCATCTTATTTCATTCTTCCAAACATGTACTGAGACAGAGCGGTAAAAACATGAACCATTTCCTGACTCTCTGAATGGCCATGTAAGTCACGACACTCAGAAAATGATGTGACAGGAACCAGCAGTAAAGAGATACTGCAAAGCGTTGAACACCGGATCTTGTGAAAACTCGTGGCTGATCCACTGCATTTATTTACAGCCAAACAAAAGCCCCCATGGGAAAACTACAAGCTACTAACAAGAAATGAATCCATACAAACATTCTTAAAACTCTTAAGTGTTTTCACAAGCTCTTAAAAGCAGGCTCTAGGCCCTGCAGACCTGGGGTGAGTGTTCAAGTTTGGTATCTTTGAACATAGAGAGGAGGCACTCTTAAAAAGGAACAAGTCACACACCAGCAGTACAGGGTTTCCTCAGCACGGCTGTGGGCAGAGGATAAAACCCTTCTGCTCTGGCTCTTCCTTTACAACTCACATCATAATTTCACCTAAGTCATCTCCAGAGAACATTTCATAAATCATAAACCCAAATTTGATTAAGGAACAATCAACCTACTTCCCAAATACAGACTTCAAATAAAGTTAAGAGAATAAAGCATATATCCATTTTAAGATAAATGTACAATATTCACTAATGAATTAAACTTAGTCTACTAAATGAATGAGGCATCCCTATCATCTTACATATCCCTTCAAACCATGCAAAATTACTATATCTTTTGATGTCCTCCAGTCATATTTTGACTCTTCACAGAGTTCTAGAAACATTTAAATTAAATTTAAATTTTAGCCATGTAAAGCAGATTAGACCTACAGTACTAATACTTGGGAACCTGAAGGAGAATGAAGTCAGTCTGGCCTATGTAGCAAGCTCCAGGTCAGTCTGGGTTACAACTTTAAAAGGGGTGGGGGGGAGATCACCAAAACAAACAAACAAAACGAAAGGTCCCCAAAACTCCAAATTTAAAATTTAGTTCCTTGGTCACCAGCTACTTTTCAAATATCACAGCTACTCAAAACAAGTAGATCTAATACTGGAAAATGTTGATACTTAAGATATCCATCATCAGAAAAAATAATTTTGAATAGCACCACTCAAAATGGCTACAGTCTTTCTCAAATTGCCTCCTCTAAGATATTCTCAAACTAGATTAAATTCAACAATACAATGGGTTTTCACGGGACATGTTGAGTATATCCACTTCACTAAAAACAATGGCAGCTAAATGAACCTGAATTATTTAAAAATAGCTCAAACAGGCGATTTTTAAAGAGATTTTCCAAAATGTTAAAAGTTTCTTTAAGGAACAATTTGGTGCGAAGCACAGTCCTTTCTGGGTCTACCCAGGCCACCTTCCTATTAGAAACACCTGTGCGTGTGTGTACACACACTACATACGCACACAAACACAAAACACACACACAGTAGTGGTTTAGGCTACTCAGAGGCTGTGATAAAAGGTGGATCTAAAGTTCAAGGTCAGTCTAAGCAACTTTGGAAAGCCTGGTCTCAAATGTAAAGAGAGAGAGAGCTGGAGAAGACACAGCAGGGACAGACTGCCTGTTCTGCACACAAGAGTTGAGGTTCAAAGGCCAACTCTCGATTAAGTAAGCACAAACGAAGTCTCAGTAGGTAAATGTTTGATCTGTTAAGTAAAGACTTCAACATAAAAAGAATAAATCAAATATAAGATTAGCTGTATCTACAAAACAGATGAATGCACAATTCTATTACATATGGATGACATCATGCAAGTTGGGGAAAATCTCTCTTCCACAACACAAGCACACCAGTAGTGAGAACGTAACTTCACTAAAATGACTTATTTTACTTACACGTTGTCACCTCTCACAATGTATAATCCTAAAACGACTTGTTCGACTCCTTGCGAAGAACTGAACACCCTCTCGTGGCTTTCGTCCAAAATCAAATTAATGGTCTGGTCAAAACCTTTTAATGTTCCCTGAAAAAAAAAAAAGCAGTAATTAAATAAATAATATGTATTCTGGTTCTGAATATGTAAATCAAACTTGCAACCATTTCAGTTGGCAGCTAAGTACTTGTGTCTTCATGTACGCCCACAAGCAGACACGATGTCTCTGCAGTGCAGTGCAGAAGTAGTCCATGACACAGACCTTACCTCTTACTTGTTTTAAGATGGGGAAAACCAGTATAAAGCTGACTACTGTACAGCTGCGAAGGACAGCCAGGCACTAGTATTTCCAAGTAAGGAAACTCATATAGTCCAGGAATTAGCACTAAGAACAGAAACTAAAACAGGACACGTTTGAGATAAAATGTTTTACTTTTTTTTAACTTAATAATAAGGAGAACTACAAACCAGCCAAGTAACAGTTCACTCTATGTCACTTCTTAGTGAAAAGCACTGGCTAAAGGAACCCACTGCACAAATCACCTCCACTTTCCTTCACCATGGAGACAGTGCTATGCTTTGCTCATTTCAAATAAGGAAACTCCCTGATGCTCCAGAAATCCAATCATGGTTCAAGATTTCATGAACAGTAAATAGGAAATTCAGTAGAGAAAAACAAGACAAATTCCAGAGCCAGATCACAAAGTAACAATGCTACTCTGTTATAAACAACACTTTTCAGAAATTAATCTAAAAATATACACAAAATCA